AAAAAAAAAAAAAAAAAAATTCCTTTAATGGACAATTTTCATGGAAAACAAAGTGAAATGAATACCAAAAGATCCAAAATTTCAACATTTTTCAGGTGGAAAATTATATCAATCAAATACATTTAATTGACAATTCCCAAGAAAACAATTCCCTATAATTCATTTTCTTTCCACCATATTTCACTCTTACAATCAAATGGACCCCAATTGAGAAAAGTCTTTTTCTTAATAAATAAATAAATGGATAAGCTAGAATATAATTAGTGGTGGATTTTCAATTGTTCTTTTCAAGCAAAGATACAAAAGTTCATTTTCATTTTCTTTTTAATTTTATTTAAACCTAAAATAATTGTTAAAAAACTTATTGCAATTTAAAATTGGCATTCGAAAGTCAATCTCACAAAAAAAAAAATTCCATTCATTATCCTTTGTTATGTACACAAAATATTTATAGAAAAAATTGAGTACTGATCAATATATAGCTTTGAAGAAGCTATCCAAAATTAATAAATGAATAAATTAGAAATACAAGAATAAGAATTTTTAAATAAAAGGTAAAAGTCTATCTAATTTCGGTATTTCCCTTTTCATCAACTCTTGCAAGAAATCATTCCAAGAATCAATTGGTCCAGGCAAACACCAATGGACACAATCGCTAACCAATGTCACATTTGGCACAGGCCAATGTCCATATTTACTTGGGTGTCCATCTGGTCTCAATGACATAGGGTTTGTCGCATCAAACAACCTAATTTTCAACCCGTTTCTTCTCCCTGCTTTCTGTGCAATCCTTAATTCCTCCAATTGAATCATATACATTTCCAAACTATAATCCTCTAAAACTGTCTCATTCCTTTTGAATGGCCTTGTCCTAGCACAATCTCCGCCTTTATCCCATAGCCCGCCTTCAAAGTGTGACGGTGCAAACGTTCTAAGAAACGTTGTGCCCTTGGGATTTTTCCCTTTGTTTATAGCCCGAAACGCCGTTCTGAAAGCCCGGCGATAGCTGAAGTATGAAGTCAGGTGGCTGATGTTGTCCTCAGGACAATAGAGGCAGCCAACGAGGCGGCGGTTGAGGTAGAAGTAGGTAGGACGGAAGAACCAGTGCCCGGCAGAGATTATTACGTAATCAAAATCTTGGATTTTGCTAGTCCAGTGTTCATCAAACTCATCAAGAAATAGCTTGAAAGGGCGTGTAACATCTTTGGGATTGGTTTTCTCTGTTTTTACCAAGTAAGGTGACCAGAACATGGATATGTTGAAGTTGTAGTCTATGTACTCGTACCGCTTGTTTTCATCTGACGCATCTGAAAAGTCTACAGGGTACACAACCTGAAAAAGGACTCAAAATTTTTATATACAATCACATTCAATAAAAAAATGATTGAAAAAGAAGTGCATAAAATTCACTTGTTACATACAATCCATTGAAATATATATATTGTATGGACTATTTATCTCAAAATCAATGATCATTACCATTGAAGATAATATTCATGAATCTTTCATCTACAACTCAGTATTTCTTTTAAATTACTCGAGGTGACATGTTTTAAATCGTGCAATCTTAATACCTTGAACATATATATTCACAGCACAAACTAAGCAACAATTAATTGGATCTCTAGAGCATCTCAGTTCTTAGATTTCCAAGAATTGACAAACCGAAGAATTCATAGACTGAAAATCTTCGAGATTTTTATAGTTTGATGATTTATTTGCTCCATATCGCAACCCTTTATTGCGATAGTGACAATCACTTAATTTTATTTTCGCGAAAGAGTCAAGTCCGCAAAAGGTTGGTCAAAATTATGTGCCTTATAATGAATGCAAAACTGAACCCATCCTCGTACAACATAATGGATACTTTCATTAGTCGCAAGTAATATGATTTAAGGAATTGAGGAACAAGATAAAGAGAGAGAGAGAGAGACAGATACAAACCCTAGTCAGGAGGCAAATCAAAGACTGCATGTGATTTCTTGCCACGGAGTCTCCTACAAAGGCTATTGATTTTCCTCTAACAAGTTCCAAAAATTGATGAGGATCAAATATAGGCAATTCACAGCCATCAGGTTTCCACTTCCACTTGAGAAATCCTTCATCAGGCCTACCAAATCTCATGCAATTTTGATGCTCCTGAATTGCATTGCATGTCATATTTGTATAATATGGACCCTCAGGATTTGGCACCCATTCCCCAGAAAATAAATCACAATTTTTATAATCTAACACTTCTGATCGTACCATGCTAAGATCATTTTTACTATTACTTGACGATCTCTTCAATTTTTCTTTCGTAACTTTTGGAGGGGTGGAGCGTCTAGACTTCCTCCTTCTACCCTTACCTGGTCTTTTTCTATCCATCTTCTCGCGGTGGGCAGCCAGGTTGCCTTTAGCGGAGCTTGGTGGTGGCGGTGGATTCGTTTCTTGATTTTCTTCCGGCAAATTCTTAGCCTCTGATTCATCTTCATTAAACTTTGAAGTTTCCTTTGTTATTTGATTTTCTTCTGGCAAGTTCTTAGCCTCTGACTCTTCTTCATTAAATTTTAGAGTTGCCTCCACGTCCACATCATCCCTTTTGGTGATGGTCCCGCCTTCACTAGGATTGCACCGCAGCGCATCAACTTCCAGGGAACAATCTTGATTATTCTCCTTAGGAGGAGGGTCTAAATCAATATTTGGTGTAACAGAATCCTCTAAAGATTCATATGAATGCCAAGCTTCAGATATTTTTCTGTGAGATTGTTTTATAAAGGGGTAATATAAAGGGATTGTTAAAAGCACTGTTAGGGCTACAAGTGGAGCAAAATTTGGTGTTTTTCTTCTTGTTTGAGGTTTGCCTAAGGGAAGTTCAAAAGCTTGAAGCTTCATTGATGGATTCTAGAGATACACGAAAGAGAAAGGAAGTGAAAAAGGAAAAACGAGAAGAGGGAAAGGAAAAAAAAATTCATGAAAAAAGACTTTCCATACGCAAGTTGCGTTAAGGACGTAAAAAAGTGATGGCTATATATGGATGTGCATGTGTGTGGTGAGTGCAATTAGTCCACTGGAAGAGAGAGGCTTTGGGAATATAGGGACGTATATATGTCACTGTCAGGGATTTTCAAAATTTTACATTAAATCAATTCTCATTTTCAATCACACTTTTTTCAATAAAATAATATTTTTTATCACATCAATAATTTTTCTTCTTTTTCAACCACACATTTCCTATCATATCACTATTTAAAATCAATTCTTCCCCCAAAAATCCCTCCCAAACAAGCACATATTATTTTTCGGAAATATATATATATATATCCTTTTTCCACATATATTTGAAGGTAAACTTTAATTTGAAAATTTTTCTAAAAAAAACTCAAAATTCAACTTTTATTAAAAATTGAAAGAGTAAAGCCACTTTGCCTGAATTTGGTGCCACCTTGGTCGACCGACCCTAACATTGCACCGTGGATCCCGTGTGAATTAAATAATGCCGACCCCCCATGTGTGTGTTCGGGCAACCAAAGTGTCATCCAAGATGTTCATATAGCATTACTCATTTGTATATAATTTTAAAAAAAAAAAATTGAATGATTAATATGACATGTTTTTACTTAATATTTATAAACTATTTTTTTTCAATGTTAATGTGGAATAGTATACTTTAGAAATGAAACTTATAAAATTATGATATTTCAAGTGTATAATAGGAAAAAAACTATGGTATTTCAAATTTTTAATAATCAAATAAATTTTAAAGAATATAATCTATACTTTAAAAATCATTCCATAATAATTTGATTAAAATATTTAATTTAATGGATTCCCATATAATAAATAAAATTTAGTCAAATAATCATGAATAAAATTAATAAACCAAAAGCACTTTGCTAAATTATGATATCAAGCACTTTAATTTTTATAATTATATTCCGTGTGCACGTAATTCTCCCTTTGATTTTTCCTAGTTAATCCCTATTGGTGCATTGACTTGGAAAAGTCAACAAAAATGGGGGAAACTCTTGAATGAACAATGGCCATTGAATTTTCTTGTGGAGGAAAGAGAATCAAGCATCCAATAATCCACTAAATCTCCAATATATTTCTGCGGCTTTAAATTGAAACATGATTAAGCCCTTTTGGTATAATTAAAAGACAAATTTTTAGTAGATTTGATAAAAATTCATGAAATTTATGGTAAAAAATTGATAAAAATTGTGAATTTTAAAAAATGTGTAACTGAAAATAAGTTTGAAAAAAATGAGAGTCAAACGGGGGCTAATATTTAAAAGATGGCTTTCAAGCCTTTCATATTTTGGTAATTTTTTTGGCCATTTCATATAATTGCAAAATTTTAGATTTAACTCAATATGGTGGTATAACGTTCGAATGTAGTTGGCAAAAAGGAAATTATAATATTATTCTAAATTTACTGCGATTAAGATTTAGCCCCTTTTTGACATCTATTTTTTCTCATTCTCATTCTCATTTTTTTTTCTCTTTCTTCATTTCAACCACACATTCTATCAATAAAATAATACTACACATAAACCAAAAAATTTTCATTACTTTTTAACCACACATTCTTCTATCAATCACTATTTCAGAATTTAATTTATTTTTTCTTCAAAATGGATGTCAAACAGGGGTTTAATTTAATGTATAAAGAGAAAGTATAACTTTTACTAATCTTGAGACTAAATTATATACAATAATATGGAATAAGACAATTGTAACATGATGTCAAAAGGTCACACACCGCACTATTACACCTTCCAAACCTCTTTAATACCTAATACATTCTGGCATATAACCATTATTTCACTCCTATTATCTCCCTGACTTGGCTCTTCCCAAAAGTTACGGGCATATTCTCTTTACCATTTTCAAGTCGTTTTTTGTTTTCGATTTTTCAAAACAGTGAAAACGTGTTCTCTTTCCCATTTTCGAAAACGCGATTTTTAAAACAAGTTAAAAATATACAAAGAAAATCCAAAACGACAAATTTGTCGTTTTGAGAGTTTTCAGTTATAATCAAGTCAAAATTTTTAAAACCCGTTTTGGTTGTTTTCAAAATGTCAAAAGGAACACATTTTCAACAATCTCAAAATGGACACTCAAAACACAAAACCCAAAATAAATTCAAAACTCAAAACACGAAACTCAAACACGAGAACATCCACTACCTATTTTACTTCATTCTTGTTCAAACAAGCTCCTCAAGTAACTCTTCGGAAACTCTAAAAAACGTTTTTTTCGAATTCTTGGAATTTGCATTTTCTAGAAGGAAGTATCATTGGCTCTAAGACTTTGTATTGAATTTGCAGGTTAAAAGCTATGGCGATGAGGGGTTTGGAAAGACTGATGGTGAACTTGAAGTCGAAACTAATTTGGTCCTTGAAAATAAAGAAACCTAATTATGACAAGATTGAGAAGAGCGGAAGCATGAGAATTGAAATCAGGAACAGAAAGGCTTGTAAGCTTATCGAAGAAACTCTCAATATCACAGGTTCTCTAAAACCAGAAGCTATGTTTTGTAAGAGTTTTTCTTTGCTTCTTCTACAATGGAAAAATTAGGTGCATATTAGGCATGTAACATTAGTTCAGATTGAACGGTGCAATAAACTAGACTTTGGGTCGACGCTTCTTTTGTTGATTTTATGCTCTTCTTCTTCTTCTGACAATGACTAAAGAAATCATCTGCTAGCTATCACCACAAAAACGAAACATCGATACCAATTGCTGTAATTCGGCATTACCCAAAAGATTAGTAAAACTAATCAAAATCAAGAAAAATGGTCATCTGCATAACATTTCCATGAAGAAGGAAAAACATCATCAAATACTACCCAAGTATCTGGGATGCACAATACTTGCTTGACGGTAGCTTCTGTATGGCATCGAATATGCATTGTGTTCGTGTGGATCACGATCCTGTCTAAAAGTCAAACAGGCAAGAGCAGAGGCTATGACGAGAAAGAAAACCGCGGCCATTTGCACAACCTTCTCATTCTGCCAATGTTCTTGGTATTCGGCTAGGTAACCTGCCTTGCACGAATCGCATTCGTAACATTCTCCATTTCCGGCGTCTCTCCATTTCACGCATTCCTCGTCTTGAGAAGCTAGACCAGATTTGGGAGCCACCCAATAGGTTTCATTTTGCACCAGTCCGCATCGGTTGGGAGGCCGGCAGCAACCCAACTACAGAATTTCACAAAAACAAGATAGCATTTTTATAGGAATTAACTGAAAATGAACTAACTAAAGAATGTGTGAGAAGGAGAAAGAGAGAACCTGAAGGTAGCGATGATCATCAAATTGGTTTTGCAATTGCTGATTACAAATGTGAAGGTCGAGTAAACACGTCTCGATGACAAACCAATCCTTGTTATTCACCAAAGCTTTTTGCAACGATGGCGAAAATTGATTCAACCAGTATCCATTCTGGGCTTTTTGCCAAGTCCCATTGGCAGTGTCTTTCGGCAATACAGAGAACACAAAGGCCGTGAAAAAAGTAACCAAAATAGTCGAAATCAACAAAACCCACAAATAAATCGATTCAATTGCCTTTGATTGAAAGCACAAACCCAATAATCCTATTACAGCAGTGGCTAACATGAAAATTCCCAGCCATATAACGGATCCAGCGTTTTCTTTAAAACACGCTGTCTGATCCGGACCATTGTGCAATGAATTCGCGTGTAGGAGTTGAAGGAATGCGCTTAGCAAAATTAGAATGTTCAGAAATGCAAGCACGATTCTGCTACAGGTGAACATGATTTTTAGCTACGAGCAATCGATTTCTGTAATGCATTTGCCAAAGCACCTGAAATGGCGAGGCGCTTTGGGAGAAGGTGGAATGGCGAAATGGATGCCTTTTGTGGGGAGAAAGTATTTCGGAAAATGAGTAACAGAAAACATGATGAATGGTATGGAAGAAAATTGACGAAAATCTGTGGAACAGAATTTGGAAAGTTAGAAATTTTACCGTATTTCAACTCTAAAGAGTACTCAATTAGTTAATATTATTGAAGAACAACTATTTTTTGTCCAAGGTACATGAACGAGTCATTAGTTCAATCGATGGATCATTATAAAGTCATAACTCGGAAGTTAAAATAAAATAATCATATATATATATGTTAATGATTACATTTTTTTATTCAATCAAAATGTATATAATTTTTAATGTGATAACTAAACATTTTGAATCACGTCATACAAATTTTTGATTAATAGGTAAATTTCGTTGATCATAGCTGTTGGCCTCAAAATAAAAGCATAAATTATTTTTTGAAGTCAAGAATCAAGTTTTACGCTTGAACTTTAACAAGATTTTCCCTCTTTTTTGGGACTTTCGGGAGTGTTTAGGACAATTTTTTTAGAAAGTACAAAGATGGAGATTCCGATGTCTTTTTTTACCGGACAGCCATACTTGTCTGGCTCCTATTTTTCTTTGTATCCCAAGCTCTTTTTTAAGAGTGTAAGTTTGGATATTAGATTTTCAAATTTCAATCCTCTTTTTTTACTTGTGTGTTGCCATATTTATAGACGTTTATAAAGACATTTTGGTCATTTTATGAATTAACATTCCCGATCATGGTATTGAAAGTTATAATTGGGTCAAATTTTCAAAGGTTTGTGCTTTGAGATGCTTATCAAGCAAATTTTATTTTTTATTTTTTTGTGTACAAAATGAGTTTGGCACTCTGAATTCATGCTATTGAGTTTATGCAAACTATTGAATCAACAAAGTTTCTCCCACCTTATTCTGATTCTTTAGTCTTATTTTTCGAGCGTATCAATGAATTTGTCTTAAGACGCCTCGAAGTACTGGCCGGCCTGATTCATTTATTCCATCGATATGTACACAATTTTCACGTATGGCAAACGATGAAACTTGAACCTAAGACATTTGACAAATTCACAATTACGGGTTAGTTTCGTTGTAGTGAAGATTACAGCAATATGTCCTCCTAGTCTGCTTAGAAGAGTAAGTGATCTATTGAGATGGGAATGCAAGGATAAATCCCTTCATCTTCCATGGAAGCTTAGAACTTTCCCAATGATATCTGATTCGAGCCCTTTTTATCTCCATTTAGCCCACCAAAGATTAATGAAACTTCGCGAAAAATGCGTCGAGGCGAATGTTCCTCTGTTAATTGATGCAGAAGATACATGTATTAACTACTTTGGGCACACCGCATCAATCATGTATCACAAAGATGATAAGCCTATAGTATTTGGGACAATTCAGGCTTATTTGAAAGATGCAAAAGAGAGATTGGTAAATGCAAAGAAAGCTGCAGATAAAATGGGAGTTCCAGTTGGGTTTAAATTGGTGAGGGGTGCATATATGTCAAGTGAAACACTATTGACTTCTTCTTTGGGTGTCAAGTCCCCAATTCACGATAGTATTCAAGAAACACATCAGTGTTACAATGATTGTGCAGCTTTTATGCTTCAAGAAATTGCCAATGGCTTGTTCTTGCAACCCATAATTTGGAATCAGGTATAGATTTTGAAATGTTTTCAATCTTTGATGTTCAAAGACAGAGAAAACCATATACTTGAGGAATGGGACGTGAGGCTGAACCTAGAAACAGGGGTCGAATTCCCAACGCTAGATTTGTGGAAAATAAGGAAATGATATTAACAAGGTCTTCGATGATTTATAGGAAAACTAGCAGCTTCAAAAGCTATTGATCTGGGAATTGCAAAGGACAATCAGAATCTGCAATTTGCACAACTATATGGAATGTCAGAAGCCCTTTCTCTTGGTTTAGTTAATGCAGGTTTTAGAGTTAGCAAGTACTTGCCATTTGGACCTGTTGAGCAAATTATACCGTATCTTGTAAGGAGAGCTGAAGAAAATAGAGGCCTATTATCAGCTTCATCCCTTGACAGACATCTCATGAAGTAAATACCAGTATATATTAATCGATTTTCTGATTTCTAGGACTAATTTGGGTAAGATCTTTGAATATTTGTCTTTTTCTATGCAGGAAGGAATTATTAAGGAGATTAACATTGATTTCGTCACACGTTGAATTTCATGTTGTACATGGTACTCATGCAATACAATTGTACATAGGTTAAAAGAAAAGAAAAATCTATCAAACAATATCAAGATTCTTGTACTTATCAAATGAATAATTGTATATTAATGTATGAGAATTGATATGTTCAGGAATTTGTTTTGTTCTGGTTCAAGTTGCTATTTTATGTGAATATCTAGTGCATATAATTCTTCTGGTACAGAGGAAAACCTAGGGTTGGCCGGCCGGCTGGGACATTTGATGAAAATGAAAGACTTTTTCCCTGTTCAAGAAGGCCTTATCGAGTATACAAGAAGATAGAGATTAGGATTGAACCAGGCCCGTTTTCTTGGTGTTTGGTACAATCTACTTGCTTGTGATTCATCACAGACGGCATAACAGAGAAAAAATCTTTAATAATGCCTAAAATTTAAAATTTCAGGTCCCGCAGTTTACATGATATTATTATTTTTCCATCATTTGGCCATTCTATTTCTTAAATCAGTGAATGAATTGGAACAGAACAGAACAGGACAAGATTTCAGTACTGGGAAACAGGGAATAGGATGAGTAAATAAAGGCTCAATTTTAAAGGCACATAGCGAATGATGTCATAAGACCAATGATTCTACAACATTGTTCAATCCAATAAGCCTGGGAAAGGGTTGCCACAATTAAAATTCGACGCGAAACCAAGCTTTAAAATATTCTTTTAGAAATAGAAATTCGGCTTCTAAAATCCCAATTGGTGAAGGCATTTCTAGTGGGTTATCATAACTACATCAAGAGATTAAAAGGTTCCATAAAGGTTGAGGTACTCATCCATCAGTAAAACTAATATCTCAACGAATCACTTGAATGGAAACAAAGTTCAAAAGGTCTTATTCAGCTAAACTAACTGCTTGTGACACAAGAAAAAATGAATGAATATAAACCTTCTTGCCAGAATACAGCATCAAAACCATGTCCTCAATGTTACATATACCACTAAATATCAACCACGGTCCAGGCAACCGGTTTACAGAAGAAATCAATTAAACGCTGTCTTTAAATGATAGAAGGGATTTGTACACCAAAAATAAATGAATCAAGCCTGAAATCATCAGATTGCCTGTTATGGTACCTTTAGAAGTTATAAAAATAGTTTCCACTTTAGACTAAAACCGAATTCTCAGCTTAATAGTGAAAAATTTTCTTTCTTTTGAATATTATACACTCGAGAGGATGTTGCATAAATCCATAAATGACAAATAAAAGGGAATGTGTTATTAGCTTAGAGTTTGATAGCCTAGAGGACCTTGCTTTCCATCTTGTTCAGTATCATTTCTACCCATCAGAGAAGGAATCCAAGGAAACAGCTTCCCGAGTTCCATCTTTATTGTGCGACCTGTCTGTCTCTCATTTATTCCAAACTTGGCTCTTTCTATAGCTTCCATTATATCTTCCCTCGAGACACATTCGGCGCCTGTTGAAATTAATTAAACATAAACTTTTAGATATAAAACTTGTCATAACATCCTAATAACATTCAGAATGAAATATATGAAAAACTATCCAAACCACACTGGATATGAGAGAAACAGAAACCATGCAGATGCGTAACGAAATTATAAAAAGGGCATCCATTACAATGTCCAGTTTCGGTACAAACCTCTTTTCTCCTTGAGGAGGCCTAAATCTAATGTTCAGCTGCCACATTGACAATATTGATGGGAATGCACCGAACCTTCCCTTTGTCAGATATCATTCTTGAAATAGAATTTATAATTCACATTGTCAAACGTAGCTTTAAATTTGCAACTAGGGGTCAGCCAATTCCTCTATCTATTTGCGCCTTTTTTTTTTTATATTTTCCAACACTTTTTTCCATGTATTTGGGGGGGGGGGGGGGGGGGGG